GTCACGAAGAGAGTTGTGCTGATGCGATACTATCAACTGATGCGGTAATTTCAGCCGTCGGATTAATTGGACTCGAGCAAGGCCTATAGCTTGGCCCAATTGGGTAATGTTGTGAATGGCTCCAATTGGGTATTTTAGGAATTTTAAGTAGTAGAGGTTGTAATTATACTGTCAACAGGAAAAATCATAAGATGGCTGCTCTAAATGGAATTAATTGCATCAGAAATTGAGAAAATAAGAAGCAAAAATAAATAAATAAATAATGAGAATAAGAATAAAAAGCCTCCTTCTCTTGATGATGAGAAGGTAGAGAAGCACTTGGGGAGCTGCGCTTTCCCTCTCCCTCCCTCCCTCCCTCCTTCAGGCTCACTCGCTCAAATCTAAGCAGTCAGGCAAGCCATAACACACAGCACGCTCAATAAATAGCAGCAGTTAAAGATCAAATTATGCTACACCAGATCATAATACCCAGAGCTTAAGCTTCAACATCCAAGTTTATTTATTGCATGATTCAGTGGCTCTTCTTCTTCTTCGTCTTCCTCCTCCTCCTCCTCTAGCTAGGAGTGGAACCATCTAAAGTCAAGTCTATCAGGATCGTAAGGTGGCTCCGCCGGCGGCTGGCTCGTCTCCGGCGTCTTGGCGAACCGCCCCTTTATCCTCGGCCTCATCTCAGCGTACGCCTTCCTTGACGCGTACCGTACCTGCTTCTCGTACCTCCGTTTCTTCCGCTTCTCCTTGTACCTCATGATCTTGGCCTCCCTCTCCATGCTCGGGTCGCCTTGACCTGCAGCAGCCATAGCTTCTCGAGCCTCCTTGTTGCTCCCACTTGAAGCGTCCGTGAATGTGCTGCCCGAGAAGGACATCTACAGAGAAGGTTTCAAGCCATATGAGAATTAAGTAGCAGTAGTATAACCTTGATCAAAATGGCTAGCTAGAACAGCGACATGAAATGATAATTGGGCTGCATGATCTTGATCTCTCTTGCCATATACACATGACCATTATACTCCAGCAATAAAATGCAATTCGAATGATGATAGCTTCGGTGACTAACTAAATGTATGCCGTCCAAAATTGTGTCCTACTTACCTCCAGTAAATCACCAACATGAAGCTTTTCATCAAACGTGTGGATCGTATCAGAAACTTTTGCAGGTATTACAGAATAAAAAGGAGATAGTAATCGATCGGTTCTTAGCAAAGATATCTTGTTGGCCTGACAGCAAATGGTGGATGAAGTAACACCAGGAGATGCCCGACCATTTGACTTGGTATGGATATGCAGATTAAGCATGTACTGCCCAACAAGTAAGCTGACAAGGACTTGACGAAGAAATGTCAAGATGATTGGTCCCTCTACCAATCTGTCAAAAGAAATCTCACACGAACCACAACTGGCTATCAGATAAGAACAACGGTGGTGCAATGTGATCTCCTTTTTCGTTCTAGATCATCTTGCCTCCCTCTATTTCTGGCTCAACTAATCGGTAGATCAACAAACCTAAAGGCTCTACAGACAAATCCTCTAAAAGAGGTTTTCTTGGGGAACAAGAATTTTGATTGGCTTTTCGTTCTTTTGTTGTTGATACTGGTTGATATACTGGCAGAGGTCGATCATATTACTCTTCCTACAAGCAAATCTTAGATTCGCATAAAATACGAAATCTTATACAGCACGAAAACAGGAAAGAGGAGTGGGGGGTACTAATTATGCTGCCTACGGCCCCATAACCACACAACTGCTATGAGATGAAGAGGATTGAACCACTCACGATGGTGGCACCCGACGCTGCCTGCCCCATGGCCAAAGCCGCCATGGAGACCGGGATGGGCTCCGGCGGCCTGGTGGTGTTCAAGCAGACGTCAAAGGTCAGCCCATGGCCGGGGTCACAAGCATCACCCAGGCCATCAAGATACTTGAAGCCTACGGCGGCCGCCGCGGGGCTCCCCTCCGCCGGCGGCACATGATCCTTTGGATCGTTGAACATCCAGGCCACCGAGTCGTCGTGGCCGAAGAACTGGAACTCATGCAGCGCTTCGGGGCCGCGCATCGGCTCGCTGAACATCGTCGGGATCGCGCGGTTGAGGTCGGTGCAGCGGGGGCACGCCCCGCCCGCGCCGTGGCACACGTCGCATAGGCTGGACGACGACATGGCAGCGATCATGTGGCCGGAAACGGCCGCAGAAGAGGGGAAGGAGGACAAGGGGAAGCGTTGTGGATGTGGTGGGAGTTAAATGGGTGGTGTGTGGTTAGATACTGTCGCCAATGAGGAGCAAGGAAGAGATATAGCGATCACTACTTTTCTTACGTGGAGGATTCCTTGCCACCTTTTATTTGGGCGCTGCAAAAGCTCTGGTATTCACGTCAATGGGTGCACAACGTCGAACGCTTGGTGACGAACGCTTGGGAATTCTGGTTCCCCGGTGAGACAGGGACTGGTGGCATCCCCACTAGCTGCGACCGACTCGGCTGTGCCGGGTGATGATCCCTTGACATCCGAGAAGTCGACGTGAAGTCTCACGCCACACAAGTGTCCATCTCATGGTCCGGACGCATGACTTGCCCGACGACAACGCGCCCGCCATGGAGTTTGGTGTTGGAGGTAGGGGAGGAGATGGTGTGCCAGTGTCAACACGTGGTGCTTGCGGATCCAGAGGTTGAAGAAGGCCAAAACAACACTAGTATCTATCTTGTCCCTCGCACAGCATCATGTTAATGCTAAACCCAAAGCCGACTCCTTTCTATTCTCGACATAAACCCACTTGCAGCTGCTCAAATAACATCCATACTTGTCCGCACAGCTCAGAGAACAGTACTGGTCGGATCAGGATTTGTGTTCTATGATGCTGCTTCTGATGGGTGCAAGGTGGAAGAAGATCATGTGGTGGTGGGCTGAGAAAATAACTTGCAGCAAAATACAAGTCCATATGAAACATGACGAACACTCTCCGGATGTTAACTGGTGAAAAGATTAAAACCGTCTGCTCTGATCACGTGTGTGTCATTGTTGCGTGCTGATGAGTTTACCTGAATCTGACTCGAAGATTTTAATCATTTAAACAGCACAATTTTGTTTTTCTGCATGATTTATTTTTGATCCCTTCTCTGTCAGCCAGACAGCAAGAAAGACAAGTCTTGTCCTAGTGGAAGTTTCTTGTGGTGAACAATCGAGCAGAGACTTGAAATTGAGACTGTGTTTTGGTATAATAGATGATGATGAGTGGTTCATGGTAGTTTGAGAAACACAAGACTTCTAACGCATGCGCGCTTCATTCTTCCAACGTATATGGAAAACAAAATCTTTCTTTCTATAATTTCCTCTTTCGGAGCATCTCATAGATGATTTTTTTTTTTGTCCTTAATGTGGATATGGTGTAAAATTCCATATATATACAATATGTATTTCAACCGGTTTTTAAGCTCGTCTCTCTCTCTCTCTTTCTCTCTCCTCAGGTGATCCATGAAAAGAGAAATGTGAATAAAGCACTTGGAAAGAATAAATGTGTTTTGCACATAGTTACTATCGTGTATGAAGTATGCACCTCCTACAGAGTGGCATGAAGAGATCCGCTGCAAATACCATGCATGCATGCTGGTTATCCACCTTTGTTGTATGTTTGCATAGCTTATTTGTTAGATGAAGTGTAAAAAGCATATGATTGGATCAAATTGGCACTAAATTTTCTTAAAGCTCCAAAGAAATTTTAGTTTTCATTTTCCTTTTCAAGCTTTGTGAATGTTATGGAAAAGATAACTATCTCACCTAATTAGGTCTTGTCATTTACGAGTCATAATAAGCCTTAGTTTTAGTGGAGCGGCTGTTAATCCTTCCTCTCTCTCTCTCTCTCTAAGTAAATAAATTCCTTCTTTTTCAGAAGAAGTCCTTTGATATACACACACTACAAAACAAAAGTATCTCAACTTGGATTGTGATGAATCTTTTCTTTTAAGATATTCCCAGTCTCCTAACTTCTACTCCATTCCTTTTCCACACGACTTTACAGGAAAATATTATAAATGTCTCCTCCTTATTCCTCTAAAGTTAAGTTACCATTCTGTATCCATTATACATTGTGATAATTGAAACTGTAATTGACATTTAAAATCCTTTAAGAACTCATCATGATGCTGAAAACACCAAGAACATGTAATTCAAAGTGGCTAGCACTGGCCATATCTAACTAACATCATGGTATCTACGAGATGAATCAATCATCATGGCTTTGGAGCCTGGAAAGATGAATCAATCATCTGCCATGCAATTCTGAAGACGAGGTAAACAGTTACACCTGAGGAGCCACCTCAACCATGGCTTTGGTGATGTGACTTTATATGATACTTTTGAGCATCTGATGATACGGTCGTTCGAGCAACTGTGACCTTATATGTATGTTTCACCAGGAGATGTCATCAGTAAATTAGATGAACCTGGAAAGTAAATGAAGGAATCAAATTTGTCAGTACTCTGGAAAGTGTAATCTATCCATTATATCAATGATCATGTGAAGAGAGGAAGACAATGTTCTTTTTAAAGAGAGAAATAACAACATCAAGAAGCAAAAAAAGACAAGAAAAAAGACTGGGAGCATAATCACACTTTGTTTTTTACCATACAATTCGTACATCTAGATGAGTAGTAGATGATACATACCATGCTCTACGCTAGCAATGAGTTACTCCAATCCATCTCGTTTGATTTGTGTGAATACCTCTCCAATTCGCTATTTATGGAGACTTGGTTATTCTTTCTTGGACAAGACATTGGTCCAGATATCATCTCTTTTGCTAAGACGAGAGAAATAACAAAGTTAGCAATCCCCTGGCATCCTTTCTTCGAAAACAAAAATCCTAACTGTACATCTGATTGGGAACTATACCCATAACAAGACCACAATATCTGAAGAGCGATATTCTTGGCCATGTTGGGCAGCTGTCTCAGAGAACCTTGAACCACAATTTTCTTTTGCTCATTTTACAAACAGTAATGTGGTCTGCAGCAGCCAAGCAGTAGTAGAATGGTGGCAAACTAATGCACACAGACAGCAACCATGCAATCACACATGAAAAAATCAGCAGCAACAAAAAAATAGAAGTTAGTAATCAGAATGCCAGAGATATCCTGTTCATGACAATAGAAATATGCAGAAACAAGGAAAGGAAATATTGTAGATATTGGTCAAGCAATTGTTCTTATCATCTATGATTCTTGACTGAAATAATTTTAGGGTCCTTATTCTAGGAAAATAGACAACTTACATTTTTCTACATTTGGCAAATCTTCACTTAGATGGCTATGTTTCATGCCCCATGGTGCAGCAACTGCGGCATGAAAACGACATAGTTTTGGCTGCACAATGGGGCAATGGGTGAATGAACGACAAGGGAAGCGCAGCATGACGACCATGCTGCTACTGAAGAGCTCCATCTGGCCCTATGCCACTCGAGGGATCCAGGGCACTGACATAATTGTGGTTTCGTGTCGCATGCTGCAACTGCAGCAGCGTGCAAAACTAGTCCAAAACAAGCTGGTTTTGGCCGCATGACAATGCCATGGGTGAGCGGTGGCAACTCATGCATGATGCACTCTGTATCCTGCCACTAAGGCGCCCCATCCAACCTTATGCAACCTGGGGGTTTCAAGTCCACTCGCCGAGTGCAAGACACTACGACCGTGCTACCCAGAAGCCCCATCCAACCATGTGCCAACTGTAGCACACTACGGCCGTGCTACCTAGGAGCCCCATCTAACGATAAGCCACTCGGTTTTCAAGATGTTGGGATGACTGATATTTCATATCACATGCCGCGAGCACCACAACATGCCAAAATGATCTAAAATAGGCTAGTTTTGGCTGCACGACAATGTGACATGCAAGCAGATGATGACAAGCCAAAACAGTTCACTGTAATGCTACATCATTTGTAATACCTCAATTTAATTTTCATCGGAAGTATATAAAGATTTAATTGACTTACAGAACCTTTATATCGATAGAATTTATAAGGAACTTGGACGAGTTGTTTTGGCATAGAGTGCAATACAATCCAACATAGTACAAACAAGCTAAGCACACAATATCCTAGAAGTTGGTTAAAATTTTAACTCTTAAGCTACATGGTCTAGAGATCCATAGTCGGTCCTAATTATATGAAAGATCTTAGACAACCTGAACTCTTTCCTATGGAAGAAGCTGATAGAAATCAGTGGGGTTGATCAGTTAACAGAACAAAATATAAGTAGGCAAAAATATAAACAATATGCTGAACAAATAAAAAAATAGAAATTAAAATAATAAATTGCAATTCAACAAATTGAATTTCTAGGTATTATTACAAGGCTCTGGTGGCATTTCTCTCAAGGAGATCTAGATTGAGTCCACATTCTGAATAGTAGATTGATCTGTATTCTAGATCTATACTTGTGGAATTTGATGGCTCTACAAAAGCATCATGACCAAAAGAAAAACCAGTCACCCAAAAGTAAGGGTGTAAATGCCATGTCAGCCACAGAGTAAGTACCATTTCAAATAAAAGGGTCACATCTCAACATTGGAGGTAAAAAGATGATATAACTGGAACAGAAATTAATTTTTCTATTCAAGTTTGCTTTAATCCTCCACCAATTTCCCTTTCATGTTAGCCTTCCTGCACAGCTTTCTTGTCACTGGACCAAAATCTGTGACTACTACGTTACAAATCAGATTGTCTATGAGACATCACAGAGAGCCCACCAGGATATCCATGGATCTTACTTTGCATTCAGGACTTGTCCTCAATGGTTTTTAGCAGAGAATAACAGTATCATTTTTGTGAAAAGTTTAAAGTTCTCAAATGAAGTCTTGTAAAGAAATCCATCTCAGAAAACCCACCTCCACACCTCCTCCCTGGCCACCACAGAATTAAATTTTCAGATGAATAGAAGAAAATTGCATTTTACTTCCAATAAGGACATGCTTGATGCATGCATTAACAAAATTAGTTATCAGACATCTCTCTTTTGAAGCCAAATGGCCAATGGAAGAAATCCTAAAGAATCTTGACAAACAAGAAGCAAGAGAGCATAAACTACTTGTTTGCATATTTGGGCCAAGTCGCATTTTCTCATCTCTTTCCCACTTGTTAACCAAACACTTCTCCACCAACTCATCACAACGAGTCTCATTATGTTTTATCCTGTTCTGCCAAGCTCTAAGTAAAGAGGATGCGAAGGGCAGAAGTGTGATGCAAGAATATTATGAAGTCACAACTGCATAAACAACTCAGGTCATTCACAACTGCACAAACAAACACATCTGAACCAATTCACCACAGTAGGTGGTCCCTAGATCACATGATATCCTTTTCTTATGTCCCAATAAGGAACATGAAAAGGAATAAACTGACAGGATTTACCTTCAAGGAAAATAGGATTTTGGATAAAACCTAAGGGTTGGTCAGATATATGTTCCTTGTTCTACTAAAGTTGTTCCAAGAGAGAATATTAATGGTCCCTTGTTTAACTCCTCGAATTAATATAACAGACAAGGAGCCCACATGCCCTCTTTTGGGAAACCAAGAAAAGATGACAAACTAATCCTATGAATTTCTTAAGTTGATAAGTCCAATAAAATTGGCAAGCTATTTTTGCAGGCACAAGGTTCCCACCGGTGCAGGATATAGATAGATTCAATGTAACACATTCTTACCTCTACAAGTAAATTATTTTTGTAACTCAAACCCTGATCATCCAGGTCACCAAATGACAAAGAAAATCAAGCCAATGTATTGCCCCAAAGGCCAAAACCTAATATCAGTCTAATAAGTCTTTTTAACACCTCTTGAACAAATAAACAAGATCATGGATTAAAGCTATGGAAGAACTTAAGTTAGAGTTCATATTTCCTTCATCTAGATCTTCACTCAAGGATACAATTCTGTGTTATGTCATGCTAAATTGTAACAACCACGCTGTCATGTGGGCAGGTAGCATGTGTTATGAGTCAGAATAGGGAGTTTGCAGTCGGGCACAACATTGAATTTGTGGTACCAGATAGTTATCAACATGTCCTCCAACTTGAAAAGGGTCTTCACTATCCAATGATGGAAACTTCATATAATATATTCAGTTAATTTGAGAAGATCTAAGTTGGGAAAGCATTTGACTTCCCAGTTTCATTTCTAGCTTTCTACCATGTGTCAGGTACTTGCAAAATCATTACTCTATATAACTATATAAGATAGCACCAGTAAGTCATAGCAATATGAAGATTGAAGACCATAACCAAACAACAAAAACACAAAGCAAAATAATTGCATGATGATCTGGTTATGGTCTGAACCTAATGCATAACTTCTTCCTTGCAAGATCATGAACAACCATATTGATCCATGCTGGCATGCATGCTACAACCGTCCTTACCTACTTTTCTCCTATATCGACCCCATGCCATTTGTCCACATTGATGGGTTTGCTGGTTAGGCATGCATGAGGCTATACCACATGTTTTAAATTAGTCTAATGATACATTAGTAATTTATAGAAAAATACACTCTTTTAAGTTTTAGGAATATGATTACCATTCTAGTAATTATCCTTCTAAGGATGATATAGTCATTTAGAACATGTAAATTATCTGAAGTACTGATATTTCAACAGCATGTAGAGTGCTTAGGAAATTGTTAGCATGCATACTAGATCATCAGCCACTTCAAACAACAAACAGACCAGTGTTAGAATCTACTGAAGCACAAGGTATTTCACAATGGTAACCGAAGAATTGCAGCCTTGGATATTAATACACAGAGCATATGTAGAGTGCTTAGGAAACTGTTAGCATGCATATTAGATCGTCAACCACTTCAAGCCACAAACAGACCAGTGTTAGAATCTACTGAAGCATGAGGTCTTTCACAATGGTAACCGAAGAATTGCAGCCTCGGATATTAATACACAGAGCATATGTAGAGTGCTTAGGAAATTGTTAGCATGCTTATTAGATCGTCAACCACTTCAAGCCACAAACAGACCAGTGTTAGAATCTACTGAAGCATGAGGTATTTCACAATGGTAACCGAAGATTTGCAGCCTCGGGTATTAATACACACCATATGTAGAGTGCTTAGGAAATTGTTAGCATGCATCTTAGATCGTCAACCACTTCAAGCCACAAACAGACCAGTGTTAGAATCTACTGAAGCATGAGGTATTTCACAATGGTAACCGAAGATTTGCAGCCTCGGGTATTAATACACAGAGCATAAACGAAGAGACAGGTCTTACAGCTTTTGGGGATCCCCAGCACAGGCACAAACTCCAGCAGCACAAGGTTCATCTGCAGGTGATTCATAAATGATGGATCTACCTTCATAACATAGAAGAAGGGCTGAAACCACATCACAAAGATCAGCAGGATTTCAACAAAGATTCGCATGAAGAGACACAAGGTTGAAGACCTTATCATCTTTATATAGATCAACGCTTAATACTAATTAAAACCCTACAGTTGACCAATGTTCATCAAACCTGGGTGCTCCTCTCCCCGGCGGACGTCCTCCGTCGTAGGAGTACCTCGACGCAATCCGGCCCTCAGGAAACAGAGGGAAGGAGACCCGAACTCCGCCCAATCCCTTCCCCCATAGTGCAGATCCGGCGTCGCTTCCCCTCGTCGTATTTAGGATATCGTAACTGCCGGGATCCGCAACTCGCACGAAACCCTAAATCCATGGCAAGTAGATTAATCACCGATGCAAACTCAATAATCGCCTCCAAAATTAGGTGAAAAACGAACCAAAGATTTGGATCAAAGCTATGCAAACACTAATCTAATTGATCAGAAGTCTTTTTGTAATTCCAAATTAATTATATGATCATTTAAATAACATATAATAATTCATGAGATCAATCGTGTCTTTAAATTATACTAGTTTATCAGTTTTAGCATATTTTAGAATACCAATTTATACTATTAATTTCTTCTTCCCCAAATCTCAGATATATTATCATCCTCAAAGAACTCAAATTGGGTTGCTAGCAAACCAATAGTATTCTCCATTTAATTCTTTGAACCGCCTCTTCCTGTGTTAGTTTCGCCCTCTTTTATATTTATATATGTATATATAGGAGTTTACTATTTAGAGTTAAAAAGTATCTTCATATTATTCATAATCTCTTTATTATTTATATTTTTAAAAATTAATAAAAATAATATTTTACTATTAATAATCCCTCTAATTCCTTTTTTATTTCTCACTTGCCTCACCTACGCAGCTTTATTGTAATCAATTGCCCTCACCTCTCGCGTATTTTATAACATTTAAGCTAATATGATATAAAGATCTAAAATATGATATAATTTAAGCTAATATAATTAACCTAAAAGATGATCTCTTTTAGAATATTACAAGATATATATAACATTTAAATTATTAAATTATTATAACAAACATAAAAACCTATTTCTTACCTTCTCTTCTTAGATATTCAATTTTTCTTATTTCATTATCTATCTTTTTTTTCCATCATTTTATGCCTATCTTAAGTGATTAAGAAGAGGAGGAGAAGAAGGGAGGGGAGGGGGAAGAAAAGAGATTATAGGAAAAGAGTGGAAAGATTTTATTGGAATTAAGTTATAAATTAAAGATATATATGTGTATTTATAAAGGAATAATTTAGATATATTTAAGTTATAAATAATAAAAAAAAGGGTTTTAAATAATAGTCTCACGTCTATATCCCAAATATCATTATAATATCAAATTAAAAACCTAATACCTCGTCGTGTTCTTTTGAGACAAAACCTCCACCACAATCAATCTGAAACTAGGAAATATAAGTTTTTTTTTTCATTGTATAAGGATAAGATCTTCTTGCGTATGATTATTTCAAATCCCAATAATATAAATAAATTAATATATTTTACCTAAAAATGTTTTCACTATTGAACTTTTATCAAATGATACCTATAATTGATTTTTATCATAGGGATACCTCTTTTTTGTTAATTTAACAAAAATATCCTCTATCCTTCACTAGTCACCTTGAATTATTGTCGTCATCCCTTGCTTCCACAATGAGTGACACTATCATCGCCTCTTCCTTCTCCTCCATTCTCCCTCCTCATTCTCCTTCTTCTCGATTGTTTGTCCTTTACTTTCACTTTTGTTAGCGTTGCTCACGGGTGACGATCTTGTTTCCCTCCCTCAACAAGACCATAACCACTACTATCGTTGCTCCCCCTTCTTCACAATCAAATACGAAGAGTTTCTTACTTGTGTCACCCTTAATCTCTCCCTCTTCTTCCTGATTAAAGATGAAAAACCTTTGGCTCCACTCATGGGGCCCATGTCGAAGAAGACACCAACAACGAAAGTAGTATCGAGGTGGCTAGGAACGATGTGTGGTGATAGTAGAAGATGAGAAGGTGGGAGAAAGGGAGAGAGAGCGATGGATAGTACCACTTGCGATGGGAGCAAGAGGCGACAGAAATAACGACGATTGAGGGATAGCTCGGGAAGGACAAAGGATATTTTTATCAAATCTTTCGGGTAAAATTTAATTGGGGATGTCATTTAGGAAAAATCAAATAGTAAAGAGTTTTTTTTAAGGTAAATTTGTGTTCTAGCTTTGTACAAAAATAAAAATAGAAGCAATCTTTTTTTCATTAAACAACGTATTATTCTTCTTACCAACAATAATAGTGTCGATTTGACTCCATTGGGAA